TATAATCGCTTATTAGTTCCAGGAGTTATTTTGTCAATTGTTTTGGATTTTCTATATGGGCGAACATGTCATTTCTGAAAAAAGATTGTTTTATTTCTTCCTTCCCAATCTTTAGATCTTTTATTTCCTTTTCTTGTTTTATTGAATTAAGTAGGAACCTCTAGTGTGATGTCAACAAGGAATGATGAGAGGTAACATCCTTGTCTTATTCCTATTCTTAGTGGGAAAGCTAGTTTCTTACCATTAAGTATAATGTTAGCTGTAGATTTTTTGTAGATATTCTTTATCGAGTTGAAGAAGTTCCCTCTATTCCCAGTTTACTGAGATTTTTTATCATGGATGGATGTTGGATTTTGTCTGATGTCTTTTCTGCATCTGTTGATATGATCATCTGGCTTTTCCTTACCTTCTTGATGTGATTGATTACATTAATTGATTTTTGAATGATTAATTGATTTTTGAACCAGCCTTGCATTCCTGGGATAAATCCTACTTGTTTATAGTGTATAATTCTTTCTGTATATTGTCGGATTTGATTTGCTAGTATTTTGTTGGGATTTTTGTGTCTATGTTCATGAGAGATATTGATCTGTAGTTTTCTTTCCCTGTGATGTTTTGGTCTGATTTTGGTATTAGGGTAATGCTGGCCTTATAGAATGCATTAGGAAGTATTCCTTTTCCTTCGAACTTCTGAAAGAGATTGTAGAGTATTGGTATAATTTCTTCCTTAAATGTTTGGTAGAATTTACCAATGAACCCATCTGGGATTGATGCTTTCTATTTTGGAAGATGTTAAAATTATTGATTCAATTTCTTTAATAGATGTAAGCCTATTCAGATTGTCTATTTCTTCTTGTGTAAGTTTTGGCAGATTGTGTCTTTCAAGGAATTTGTCCATTTCATCTAGGTTATCAAATTTGTGGTTTGAGTCATTCTTAGTATTCCTTTATTATTCTTTTTATGTCCATGAGATCTATAGTGATATCTCTCTTTTATTTCTGATATTAGTCATTTATGTCCTTTCTCTTTTTTTTTCTAGTTAGCCTGGCTAGAGGCTCATTGATTTTACTGATCTTTTCAAAGAACCAGCTTTTGGTTTCATTGGTTTTCTCTATTGATTTCTTATTTTCAGTTTCATTGATTTTTGCTCTAATTATTATTTCTTCTATTTACTTTTGATTTAATTTGCTCTTATTTTCCTTAATTTTCTAAGGTGGAAATTTAGATGATTGATTTTTGATCTAGCTTTTCTTATATATGCATTTAGTGCTGTAAATTTCCCTCTAAGCACTGCTTTTCCTACATCCCCACAAATTTTGATATTTCATGTTTTCATTTTCATTTAGTTTAAAATATTTTGAGGTTTCTTTTTTTGACCCTTATGCTATTTTATAGTGTTGTTTAACCTCTGCATATTTTAGAATTTTCCAGGTGTCTTTATTGTTATTGATTTCTGATTTAATTCCATTGTGGTCTGAGAGCAGACATTATATGATTTCTGTGCTTTTAACTTTGTTACAATGTGTTTTATAGCCCAGAATCTGGTCTGTCTGATATTGGTGGTGAATGTTCTATGTGAACTTGAGAAGAATGTATATTCTGCTGTTGTTGGATAAAGTATTCTATAGATGTTAATTATAGCTAGTTTATTGATGGTGTTCAGTATTGAGGTCAATTATGTCCTTATTGATTTTCTGTCTGCTGTATCTGTCTGCTTTGCTAGAGGGGTGTTGAAATCTCCAACTATGATAGTGGATTTATCTATTTTTCCTTACAGTTCTATCAGTTTTTGCCTTACGTAGTTTAGTTTGATGGTCTGTGGTTAGGTGCGTATGCATTAAGGATCATTATGTCTTCTTGGAGAATTGACTCTGTTATCATTATATAATGTCCTTCTTTACCTTTGATAACTTTCCTTGTTTTGAAGTCTGCTCTGTATGAAATTAATATAGCTACTCTTGCTTTCTATTAGCATTAGCATATTTTCTCTATGCACTTAATTTATATGTGTCTTTGTATTTAAAGTGGGTTTTTTTTGGTAGCTAACATATAGTTGGATCTTATGTTTTGATCTACAATTTGCCTTTTAATTAGTGCATTTATACCGTTGATTTTCATTGTTAATTATTGATATGCTTAGATTAATACATACCATATTTGTTGTCTGTTTTCTATTTGTTGCCCTTGTTCTTTGTTCCTACTTTTGTCTTCTACTCTTTTTCCATTTTGTGGTTTTAATTGAACATTTTATATGATTTTATTTTCTCTTCTTAGCATATCAGTTATCCTTTTTTTTTTTAGTGGTTGCTCTGGAGTTTGTGATATACATTTATAACTGATCCAAGTCCACTTTGAAATAATACTACTCAACTTCATGGGTGATGCGAGTAACTTGTAATAAAAAAATAATCTTGATTTCTGCTATTCTAATTTGGGCCTTTATTATCTCCCACTTAGAATAATCAATTTCATAACCAGTTTTCTCTATACCCCAATTAATTTTATTTTCTATTGCCAGTTAATCTCTATACACTACTGTTGCAATTTTTTTTGTCTTTCTACCTCTCTTAAAAAAAAAAACACTGATATTCTCTATTTCCCATTACATTACCCATTACATGTGATAGGTACTGAATCATTTCTTCTATTATTGGATGCATTTTAGAGAGAGGGAAAGTGGTCTAGAAATGCAGGCTGGGTCCCTATTGTAGATTCCTTGAACCCTAGAATGAGAATACTATATTTGTTGGGGATCCCTAAGACTACCCCTAGGTTTGGTGATTTGCTAGGAGGACTCACAGGGCTCAGCGTATAGTTGCATTCGTAGTGATGATTTCTTATAGTTAAAAGATACAAAGCACAATCAACAAAGAGAGACATGTAGGGCAAAATCTGGAGAAAAGGCGGCAAGCATCCAAGAGCCTTCTCCCATTGGGGTCACATAGAACATAGTTAATTCCTCCAGCAACCAGCTGTGACAACAGGTATCTGTTAGGGAAGCTCATTAGAGACTCAATGCTTAGGGTTAGGGGGTGAGAACATAGTCCTCTCTACTTAGCATGTGCCAAAATTCTAAATTTGTAGAAGGAAACTAGGGGTTTAGCATGGACCACATTGCTTGCACATGGTACAAATATTTAGGCACAGTGAATTATTCTTAACATTTCTGGGAATGGTGAGAACCTTTTTGGAGTTTAAGTTCCCAGCCAAAAGCCCACCTTGCAAGCAGGCCTTTATAAGGATAGTAGTCTCAGGCCTGCTGTGTTAACTCTTTTATGTACATTATTCATATTTAATATGATCCATTGAGGTAGAGAGATGGCTTCAGGGACTGCTTTGGAAATGGGGGTGGTATGGGTGTGGGAATAAAAGAGATATGAAGAGGATAGACTTTTTCTCACTTGTCTCTTTAATAAGTTTAGGATTCCATGGAAGGTTTTGTATGTAAAATAGGTGCTGCTGTTAAAATTATGTTTGATGACTACAGTGAGCTGAATTTCAAGCTAATTATTGATAAAACTACATTTAGATTTTAAAAATATTAGCTCTGTAGTCGATGAAAGATATTTTAGAAATTGTGGTAGTGGTAAATTTGGGACAGAAGGTGGTCAGAGGGAGGGAGGCTAAGCCAGAGGTAATGAGAGCCCCAGCTGGGGTGATGGGGAGTATGATGGGGAGAGGAGGGAATGGATTTAAGAGTATGTGGATGTAAAATTTAGTAGCTTTGATTGGTTGAGAACCTGGTTGAGGGTTGGGGAGAGGGGTTGTGGGATGGAGGGGAAGGAAATTAGTATTACTCTTGGGTTTCTTATCTGTTTGACTCCAGAAAATTAAAGGAGAGGGTGAAAAAGAGTATTTTCTCTGGTTGTGAGATTCTCAAATCCTCCATCACCAATGGGTATCTAACAATTCAGTTAGATTCTGACACTACCTGAGTTGTAGCATCAGATTTTACAAATGAAAGGGCTCAATTCCACAGGACTGGCCGTATTTCACACTCCAGCTGCACATGGTCTACCCAGGCTACCCACACTTCTGTATGGCCAACTACAAATTCAGGGGTTCCCACAACCCGCCCCCCCCAGGTTTGATAATTTGCTAGAAATGTCTCACAGAACTCAGAAAAACACTTTATTTATGTTTACCAGTTTATTATAAGTGATACAATTCAGTAATAGCCAAATGGAAGAGAAGCACAGGGCAAGGATGGGAGCTTCCACCTCTCATGGTGCCCCTCCTTCCCAGCACTTCGTGTTCATCAACTCAGAAGCTTTCTAAACCTCGTTGTTCAAGAGTGTTTATAGAGTTTAATCTCCAGCTTCCCCTCTTGTCTCTAGAGGTGGGTGGTGGGGCTGAAAGTTCCAACCCCCTCAACACTTGGTCTTTCTGGGGACCAGTCCTGTTCTGAAGCTATCTTGGGGCCCCACCCTAAGTTACCTCATTGGCATAACTCAGGTGTGATGAGATATCAAGAGATACTCCTATCCCTCAGGAAATTCCAGGGGTTTTACGAGCCCTGTGTTAGGGACATGTGGTAATGTCTGAATGCTGTGTGGTTTTGGATAGAAAATAAAGGGGCAGTAGAAAACCATTTGTGGCTAGTCTCTACGTCTCTGCCTTGGTACTCAAGAACCAGAATTAGGCCTAACTCAAAGAAAGGCACCAGCTCTGCTGTGGGGAAGATCTGATGAACCCAAGTGGCTTATTTAATTCAATGGAGGCAAAGCAGAGACTCTATAGCAGGTTAAGCTTACTGTAAGAGGAGTTACAATTAAAGCTTATGGATATGGTTTCTCTTTTATTAAAATGAGATAATTATAAATATATTGTACAAAATTGTTTTATATTTTTATAAAAATGATATTTACTGTAACTAATCAAATATATACATTCATAATTGGTTAAAGATTTTAATGTGAGAGTTAAGAAACATATGTAGAGTACTATGAAATGTCTTAATTTTAAGAAGTCTAAAATTTTGTATATATTTTTGTTTATAGCCTATACAGTTCAGACACCTGAGAGTATGCCTCCAACTGCGGCTACAGAGGCTTATTTGAAAGCTATGGCTGTTTGCCATGGACCTCTGGATCACTATGACTTTCTGATCAAATCTCATGAGCTAAAGGACGATGAACATCAAAGAAGAGTCATACAGTGTTTGCAGAAATTACACGAGGACCTTAAAGGATACAGTGTAGAGGCAGAAGGCCTTTTCTCAAAGGTGAGGTTTGTGTGGTATTAAAGATTGAACAGTTAAAAGTGTAAGCATTTTATAAAATGGATTAAATGTAGTTGGGTACAGTCATGAAACAACTTGAACATTTCCTACTAGTACCTTTAAATAAGCTCTGTTAGATCCTCATACCTGACTTCTTGATGTTCCACAGTTTTCTTTTACCTCGGAGGGATTCACATTAGGTAATAATTGATGCTGTCCAGTCAAAATGAAAATCTCTGTGCAATTCAAAGCTTTCCCCTTTCTCTTGCTCAGGCGAGGCCCAGGATCAGCAGTAGAGAAGGGGGATGATTTATTCTTCTCCTCTCTCTCCTCCTCCTTTTCCTGTTTGCCTGGCTTCTCTAGGGTCAGAATGAGAGGGATGGAAGATTAGAGAGAAACAACAGTCTTAAGTGACCAGTTAAGGGCCTTTGGTGTGGTAGATGCTGACATGCTAGCTCTTTGTTGAGACACATTGGTGGATCTTCAAGACTGCCCTCAGGATCTCCCCACTGCTTCATTCAGATATCTTATGACTGTAGGGGAATGCCTCATGCCACTGTATTCTCCTGGGACCCCCTTGCTTTTGTACTTGGCCTTCTTGGGTGGGATCCTTTCAGGACAGCTCTAGCCAGGTCACTTTTTATGGTGTCCACTTAGGCCACAAGAAGTATAACATCTTTCTCTAACCCTTGCCCTTGGACTTGTGCAGATAAGAAGCAGGCACCAGTTTCTGTCTTTATCCTATACACTCCCATGATCCTGGGGATACACATCATGTTATTACATGAACTCTTCCATACTCTGCTTTTGTAGCTGCCTGAGGACATCCTCACTTAGGTAAGCATCCACCTGGGGAAGGGGATACCCATCTCATTCTATACTCAGTCCTCATCTCTTTAGATGCTTCTCTTGGGGAATCCATGAACTTGGCATGAGGTTGTATCTAGGGGAAATGCCACAGCATTTCTTACCTGGCTAACAACTTTCTACCTTGATCAGTTCAGTTCCACTTTGATTTTAAGACTATTTTTGCTGTTTTTTCTTTTTAAGTAATCTCTGCATGGATATGACTAGTGCCTGTCTTCAGAGTATAGGAGAGCTTGTCTCCCTTTGTCCTTGACTTTGAGCTTTTACTGAAATTCTGAGATGACAGGAAAACTCCCATTCCTTATCTCATTATAGAAGTCAGTGACATCAGTGGTGTCATATTCAAATTATGAGGAACATTAATAGTAATAAGAGTTAGAATATGGTTTAATCTAAGAAACTAGTTTTCCTTTAATTGACCAAATCACCTCCCTTCACTTTCATACATGAATATTTGTTTATTATGTCTTTAGAAGAAAAGTACTGTATAATATGTGTTAATAGTACTTTGTTTAAAAACTCTACTGAAAGTAATTTTACTTTTTAAAAAGAATGAGAATATAATTAAATAGTTTTATTTTTATATAAAGAAAAAGGCATTGTGTTAACATCTTTTGGTTCAAAGGAATAGAGATTCATTTAGGTTACAGAAAGAAATGGAGATATAGAATAAGACTACCTATGCAAATAGCAATGAAGGACATTTCCATTACATAGGCAGACCTCAGGAAGCTTGAGCTGGCAGCATTAGTGGCTCTGAAAGCTTTGATGACTTGACAGGCAGTAGTAGCAGGTACCAGATGATTCTCACTCCAGTGCTCTTTCGTTCATGTAATCCCTTTTCTGTTCCTTTTCCCCCATATCCATTTTCACTTCTAGTCATTCCACTGACTTCTAAATTCTCTCTCTGTATCTGTGGTTTAAACTCTTGAGTAAGAATCCAATAGGCCAACCAATCACTTCATCATCGTTTGGGCAGTGCCTTAATACCGGCTTTTTCAGATGCCACTAGCCAGCATAAAGATTGGATCTCTGCATAAGGTTCCATCTGGGACTCCTTTGAGCATGGCAATTTCCCTCGGAAGTGGGCTGTAATTGTAGTGCCCTCTATGATTGGCCAGTACAGTGCAATAGTTATAGGAAATAATGAATTATCCTTTTTGATGGCTAGCCTTTCCTCTTTCCCCCATATTTCCAAAAGTTTTAGGTGAGTAAAGAACTAAATAGTTTGGAAAATGTAGACTGCTTATGTACTGCATACCTAATTATAGTTTGCAATACAGGTGGCTTTCCAAATAAAATAACAACTTGGTTATGTGTCATAGCCAGGAAACAAGATGTTTTACTTAACTGGAGTTTTTGGTTATCTGAGAGTTAAATTACGCTCATGAATGTTGTATCTTGTTCCCTTTCTAGTTTTTTCGCTTTGGGAAATATAGTGGTTTTTTTTTTCCCCTCCTCCCCACTCTGCATCATCTCTGGTCTCATCTTACTGTGACTGGTGAACTTCTGTCCACTCAAAAGTATTCTTTAATCATTAACTTATCTGATTGCCAATTCAGCAGAGTTCCCCCCACAACCCCCGCTCCCCTTAAAATTACTTTTTGGCAAAATAAAACCCATGAGCCCTCTTCCCCCCAAAATTATTGTTTGGCTCTTCTTAGGGGTGTTTTCTCATGCTTCCACCTTTGATATCTCAATTGGCTATGATGAGTCAAACGCTGGTTTTATTGTATACTTATAATCTTATGGAACTAGGAGATTTGACATGTCCAGTAGTTTCACATGTTTCTAATGGAAGCTTATATTTGTTAAATCCTAATGCATATGTGAGTAAATGTTTAGTTGATAGATCAACATATCTTTGTGGTAGTATTTGTCCTGTAGTTTCTGAAGTTTGTTAAATCTTTAACATTGAAAAAGACTCAATTATCTAATATAATTTGAGTAAAATATCTATAAAAACTTTAGATTTTGAAGATTGTAAAGGTGCCACAGACCTAGTTCGTCTAAAAAATAAACACTGATATGCTGATTTTTGAGAAGGAAAATTGGGCTATTAGGTTTTCTAGTGATAGAACTTTATTTATAGCATTCTTAATTTTGATAAACAGAATTAATGATTTTATGGACATTTGATTTTGTTTTTAATGCAGATGTTTAAATATTCATTATAGTGGACTTATTTTTTTCTCATTGTACTCTTAAGAAATTTTATATAAGGCTAAGCTATAATATTAAAATAAAAGTTACCTTCTTCACAAAATGCCAGAATTATTAATTAATGAGATATAATTGGTGGCAGATTATTTGGCCGCTTTCACCTACCTGTGTAACAAGGTTTTTGCTAATAAAAAATAGAAAAAGTTATGAGCAGATGACCATGCTATATAAGCAACCAACTATGAAGAATGAGCATGTTTGAACCCTTTACTTTTGTTACCAAATAAGACTTACAACCAGGTTAATCTGACACATTTAATGTATGCATAATTGTTATTGTGCTGTGGGGTAATTAGGCATAAATGGTAAGTAGTTCATGTAAATCACTATAATTAGAATTACTTTTACACAGCCAAATCAAGCATTTCTGGAGTCAGGAAGGGAGAGAATTAAATAGTGTGGAGCTACTCTGAAAAATCTGTTTCCATTAATCAGGCTGCCAGGTTTTTTCATCTTTTGGGAGGAGACATTGTGGCCCAAGAGATTTGGGAATTGGGTAGGGAGGCACAAAATTCCTTTTCTTTTTCTCCTGCTTGCCACAAAATAATTTTTAGTTTTTCCCTATGAGAAATTATTTCCAACTTCCTTGTACATCTCACCGTATTTTATTTGGACACCTTTCTCACCTCCTGAGAACAATGCACGTAGAAAAGAACTGCCCTGCCTTCAGTCCAGCTAATCCAAGGTCTTGATGCTTTCCTTGTTCTTGCTTCTAGTGGCTGGAGGCTGTGAGTACAATACCTGGAATGTGGGCTGTGGACTTCTCTCTCAGGAGATGTCTGAGGCCTGGTTGTCAAGATCCCTTCAGTTATTTATCCAAGATTTTTTCAGAGAGACCTCCAGGCAGTTTGCTGGTTTTCCCTCAGTTCCTCCCTTCTCCCCTCCAACTAAGGCAGTGAGCATATTTTTTCCATTTCTCTTAGAATTGGCATTTTCTATAAGTAAAGTAGGTTGAGCAGTGGAAGTTAGGTAAAGCTTCCCTGATTCCTGGAACTTTGTTCTTTAGAAAATCATAAGCAGCATTGAGTAAAAAGTAGGCAATATTTATAGCTACAGTTTTATTAAAGACTAGAAATATTTTAAAATGAATTTTTCTTTTTCAAATTTTTATGAAAGTTGAAGCAAAAGCATTGTGTCCTAACCCTAGGAAAGTACCCGCAGGGAAGTGAGATTGGGGTCAAACTACATTGTTTTTTGAAAACCAACACATGCTAAAGACTCATTTAAAATCTGAAATTCGAGAAACAGTGTAGTGGGTCTGCTTCGGACTCCAGAATAATTAGCCAGGGTATTCAATTATATTTTAAGTTTTGTTATGGTTTCAGCAGGCGAAATTATGCTATTAACATAGATGAGAATGTCTTTAATAAATCCCTTAAAATTAATTTAAAGAAAGTGTTACTGTCGGAGCTGATGGGAATTCAGTGTTGCCCATTGTTGGGATTGGGGAGGGAAAGGGATAAAGACAGTGCAGAAGTGTAGTTAGCATTTTCCTCAGTTCTTCCTCACTGACGCAGTGAAGAATTACAGGTCAGTGAGATTTAGAAAAGATTTATTAAAAGTATATTTTAGAAAGACAAAGTATGCACCAAGGCTTATGTCTCAGTACTGTAACCACAATAACTAACACAAAAGGTCCAAAAGGACTACAAAGGGGCAAAAAGGGGCAAAAAGGACACAGAAGTGGGAATGTCTGCATTATATTTGGGCTGTGATGGGTGGTTCCAAAGGCATTTCTAGGTGATCGACAAGTAAGGTCATTTTGATTGACACTGGGCTGCTATATGTAACTTTTTGCCTAGTGCATATGTGTGTACCCAGAATTCTACTACCATTGGGTTGTTCTTCGGGCCGACTCTAAGCTGGGCCCCTATTCCTTTGTTCATCCTGTCATTCATGTCTGACTAGCTACC